GTCATCAGAGCAGACTGTTTCGATGCAATCCACCGTCATTACCACCACCACCGCCACAAACACCACCAACACCTGTAGCACCTGAAGAAGAAGTAGCATCATCATCACCACCACCTTCTTTTCCTTTGCATTTGCCAGAGAGTGCCATAAACAGTGATCCTCTCTTTCTTCTCCTCAACTGCCTATCGTCGGAAAGTCGCCAAATTTTGCAACCTTTTCGGCAGCAGCAGCTCCAAAAAAGGCATCATCACAGTGTCCACGGCAAATCATCACCACCACCGTTGTTGTACACTACACCACAAAGGCAGGAGAATCCTCCTCACCCTGACTTCTCTTCGCAGTGGTGGTGGTGGTGTTGTTGTTGGTTGCCATAGTTGCAGCGTTCTCTTCCTCCTCTCTCCTTCCTCGCCGAAGTCCTGCTCTGCTCTGCTCTGCTCTCCTCGCTCCCGCTCCCGCTCACCTTCGGCGACGGCCAATTAGTGGCGCGGGCAAGCCAGCTCGGTGGCCAGCCACCAGTCTTCTATGTTTACGGCTCTTGTGCCACCGAGACAGACAGAAAGACTGGCAGACACAGAGGAGAGAGAAGGAGAAGGAGAAAGAGAAACAGAAAACAAGAGAGAGGCAGCGGCGGCGCTCACCTGCTCCCAACTTCATCTCCCTCTGTTCTCTCTGTTCTGCCAGTTATTTTGGCTGGAGAAAGAGAGGCAACAACTGTGTTGTCTGACCATCTCTGAGAGAAGCGGCGGCGGCTGGTCATGAAGAACGGCGGCGGCAGAGGCAGCAGTTGTTGAATAAGCATCTGTCTCGCAACAGACTCACACACACACTGCCCAATCACTTCAGTTCAGTTCAGTTTTTGTCGTCGTCGTCGTCTGAAGGCAGGAAGAAAGAAGAAAGAAGTAGCGTTCACCAGTCGTCCCGTTTTACACATNGGCAGGAAGAAAGAAGAAAGAAGTAGCGTTCACCAGTCGTCCCGTTTTACACATACACACTCGAAGAAGTCGTCGTCTTCGTTGGTGTTGTATTCTTCCTTTTCTCTCTGCTCTGCTTTTACTCTACTTTTGTTTTTGTTGTTTTTCCCTTTGTTTTGTCTGTCGTCTTCGTTTCTTTTATTCTCTCACCAGATAAGCTATCGTCTGTTCAAGTGTGTCTGCAATTAGAACTGATTAGAGCTGCCGCTTGATAATCCTCTTCATCTTCATCTTCCTCACCACTACTACTACCACAACTAACCAGTCGTATTATTCATCATCGTCACTAACACCACCTCAACTCAACCTAAACCAATTCAGCCTAATTACAACACACCTGTTGAATGGAGTGAATCAGCCGTACAGAGCAATTGATTTCACCATCTGTTTTTGTACGAAACCAGCAACAGGAACATAACCTAAAAACCAACCACAGCCACCAACCACCTCTTCAACTACCATGTACAACTTTGTGAAGGGGAACCGCCTCTTCTTGAAGGGCTCCCGCGAGAACGATGACCCCGACGCTGTGAACGGCGAGGTGGAGCTGATCAACGACCAGGCGGTGGAGCGGGAGCAGCACGACTTTGCCTCTAAGAACCACATGGCCTCGGCGTCGCAGGAATCGCGGGAGGTCTTTCGCACTGCCCACAACCGAAATGGCCTCAAGACAGTGCACACGCAGCGGGTGGTGAAGAAGACCACCTCGGTGAACCGGGGCGAGCAGAAGAAGCTGGTAAGTGGAAAACCTATTTTTTATTTTGATTTTGTTAGGGAATAGAATCTAGGCCTTTTCGAGATCTTTCAGTCCACTACTTTTTTTATCACCACCGATTTGACGGCCTTTGTTGTCAAGTGCCGCTGTCAGTGCTTATGGACTATCTCCTCATTTTTTTATTATTCAAGCCGGCCACTAGTATCAATCACTCAAAATGCTTTTCAGTGTTAGCGGTGCACCGAGGTGTGCCCCCTTTTATTTTGCCCCACTATTTTGAGATTGATATGATATATTCCTGTTTGTTTCCGGTTCATTTGCTGCTGCTGCTGCTCAGTCTGTGTTGTTTTTCTTTTTCTACATCACCGGCGAGTTTTTCTGCGCCAGTATTATTAGCAGGAGTGAGCGGACGAGCTGAGAGGCTACTCTGCATCTCTCTCCGTTTCTCGCACTCTCTGTCAGGTGCAAACATATTGTGTGTGTTGAGGTAGACTTTGCTGCTGCTGCTGATGTAGATGCCCTTTGAGATGCTGTCCGCCGCCGCCAGACACTGCCACAAAGCACTGTTACTCAGCCTAAAGGAGAGGACTCAGTGTCGATGTGGCCTTTGCTGCCTTTTCCTCTGCCGCTGAGCGATCAGGTGGTGGTGGTGTGTGCTATTAGCACTGCTAAATTGGTTCGATTTAGGCGATATTGGCGGACAATTACCACCACCGCCAGCTGCTGCTGCTGCCGCCTGATTCAATTTGCTCGTCAGTTTTGCTTTTTTAAAGTTTGCTTATTGTTATTTTTTTGCTAGCTATAGCTCTTGATTGTGTCTCAATGTGACAGCCTCCGCGCTTTTCGCTCAAAAGCCTTTTCCAAACGTCCTTTTCGATTCCATTTCCCCTTCAGTCAGCAAAGTGGCAATGAATTGATTGGGGATCGCTGGCTGACTGGCTTGCAACCTGTTAATCAACGCGCTCTAAAACCTGCGACCGATTACATTCTGCCACAAGCTGCTGCTGCTGAACAGTTTGCTGATGTTTGCTTTAGCTAGCTAGCTAGCTGATGATGATGAACATCAGAAATCCAAACAAATGGCTGGCACATCGGTGCAGCAGCAGCAGCATCAACACGTGGGACGACGGTGAAGGTTACAATTAGCGAAGGAGAAAGAGACGAAAAAAATGAGAAAGGTGGCGATCTACATGGCAGGCGAGAAAGAACAAGAGAGCAAAGAGAGACTGTCGTCGACGATTGTGTGTGAAGTTGGTGAGCGAGGAGTGCAATCAAGGCAGTTGCTGCTGCTGCTGTCTCCACCACTGCTAACCCGTACAATCGTTTACTTTATTTTTTCTTTTGCTGCCGCTGCTGCTTCTTCTGTCGATTACTTCTTTTCACTGTCGCCATATTTGGCAGTTTTGCTCCATCGCGACTCTCGACGACTCTCGACGAAGACGACATTAGAGCTAGTCAGTCAGTCAGGCGGGCAGTGGTGAAGAAAATCAGGAGAAGAGAAGAAGAAGAATGGACAGCAGCAGCAGCATCGGCAAAAGGCTTGACAACTCCTCTCGCTGCCTCTCGCTCTTTGCCATAATCGCTGCCTACAGCTCACTGAAACTCACACTGAAACACACTCACAATTTGAGCGTGGGTTGTTGTTGGCAGAGCTCACACAGCTGCACAAGGATTCTCCTGCTCACTTGAACATTTAGCAACTGTCCCCCGCACTCTTGTATGTACGGCAGTGAGTGTTTTTAGCAAAATGTACAAGTGTGAGCCCTTGACTTGAGCCTCTTCGTTCCTTCAGTGCCGGTGGTGGTGGTGGTGAATCTATCGAGCTTTTCCTAAATATAGCAATTTGATTTTGCTTGCAATAGCCGTTTGGCTTTGGGATTGACACTGGCACACACGATCACCACCAGCTTGGGTGGTAGTCGTGGTGGTGGTGGGCTTTTAGAGGATAATGTGTGAAGTGAAGTGCAGTGGGGAAATTGTTTAGCTGCGCCTGTTACGATCGGAAGTGCGCACCGGAAGTGCAAATGCAGGTGGTCGTGCCTGTGTTCTTTCTTTCTACTGCCTTTTGCAATCAGGGTTGCTTTGAGCTTTGTTTAGCTTTGTTTAGCTTTGTTATTACAATTACCCTACCTGAACTGATTGATGTGCAGTACTGTACACTAAGAGCACTGCCAAGGCTAATGACACTTGATTGAGATGTTAATTTTAATGATGATGACAGAAAGGGGTGACAAGTATTTGAGAAGTGATTGTCGTGAGAGCACACTATTGATTGTCCTCCTCTTTAGCAAACTCATGTGTCCACTTATCACTTTTCCACTCTCTCTGTTTGTGCTCTAATTGCTCATTCACTTTCTCACTCTTTTACTCTATCGTCACACTGCGGTTAATTAAGCAGCAGCAGCAGCAATGCTTAATTATATCATCATCTGTGTCGACACGCCACTACTAAACACCTGCTGCTCCTGCTGTGGTGTAGTGTAGTGTGTCAGGGCGTGTGTGAGATGGCATTTAGGTGATAGTAGTGAATGGCTTGTCAATTGACTTTCCAATTGACTGTGTTACTGACTGGCAATGGCTGTTGCTGATGCTAATCTGAGTATGTTTGTTTGCCGTACGCAGATGTGTGTGATTGACATTTCTTGTGATGTATTGCCTCTAACCGTTTTGCTTTGTTTTGTTTGCCTTCTTTCCATTTTTTCTTTTTCTTACATGCTAGCCAACGTACTCAATGATCGAGGGGAACAAGCTGAAGGAGCGGCTGATGAAGTGGGCGCGCAAGTCGACGCGCGGCTATCCGCACGTCAATGTCGTCGACTTTGGCCCCAGCTGGCGCGACGGCCTCGCCCTCAACGCCATCATCCACCGAAACAGGTTAGGAAAACCTCGGTTTTTATCATCTTTTTAATCTTACCCAAATCTATTTTCCCTTTCCCCCTCCCCTCAGACCCGACCTCGTCGACTACCACAAGTGCCAAGAGAGCTCCGCTCGCGATAACCTCGCCAATNGCGCGCAAGTCGACGCGCGGCTATCCGCACGTCAATGTCGTCGACTTTGGGCCCAGCTGGCGCGACGGCCTCGCCCTCAACGCCATCATCCACCGAAACAGGTTTGAAAAGCCTCGGTTTTTATCATCTTTTTAATCTTACCCAAATCTATCATCCTTTCCCCTAGACCCGACCTCGTCGACTACCACAAGTGCCAAGAGAGCTCCGCTCGGGACAACCNCGTCAATGTCGTCGACTTTGGCCCCAGCTGGCGCGACGGCCTCGCCCTCAACGCCATCATCCACCGAAACAGGTTAGGAAAACCTCGGTTTTTATCATCTTTTTAATCTTACCCAAATCTATTTTCCCTTTCCCCCTCCCCTCAGACCCGACCTCGTCGACTACCACAAGTGCCAAGAGAGCTCCGCTCGCGATAACCTCGCCAATGCCTTCCACATCCTCGAGAAGCACTTTGGCATCACGCCCACCCTCGACCCCGACACCATGGCTCGGCTGGAGCACTCCGAGGACGAGGTGGTCAAGTACCTGGCCGCCGTGTACGAGGTCTTCCCCGACCCGCCGGATCACAATCCGCTGTGGGACGCGGAGAAGATTCGCCGCATCGACGAGTACAAGGAGCTGGCCAGCCGTCTGCTGGTCTGGCTGCGGGAGGTCATCCCCAAGCTGAAGGACCGCTCCTTCCCCAACNCTCGCCAACGCCTTCCACATCCTCGAGAAGCACTTTGGCATCACGCCCACGCTCGACCCCGACACCATGGCCCGGCTGGAGCACTCTGAGGACGAGGTGGTCAAGTACCTGGCCGCCGTCTACGAGGTCTTCCCCGACCCGCCGGACCACAATCCGCTGTGGGACGCGGAGAAGATCCGCCGCATCGACGAGTACAAGGAGCTAGCGAGCCGGCTGCTCGTTTGGCTGCGGGAGGTCATCCCCAAGCTGAAGGACCGCACCTTCCCCAATACCATCCCGGAGATGCTGCAGCTGCGCGAGGAGAACCGCCTCTTCCGCACGGAGGCGATTCCGCCGAAGCTGCACGACAAGCAACGGCTCGCTAGCAGCTACGAGGACGTGCTGAACATGGCCCGGGGCCTGCCCGGGAAGCACGTCAAAATCGAGGAGGAGTACAATATAGCGCACATTGAGGCCCTCTGGAGCAAGATGATCACCGCCCACCAGGAGCGAGACCACGCGCTCAATGAGGAGCTGGCCCGCCTGGAGAAGCTCGAACGGCTCGCGGAGGCGCTGGTGAAGGAGATTGACATCTGTGATAGCAATCTCGACCAGCTGAAGAAGAGGATCAGCGTGGAGGAGGGCCGGGTGCTGAAGCAGGACCCGCTGGAGCACAACCACGAGATTGACAACATTGCCCGCGACCTGGCGATGGAGGAGGAGCGCATCAAGGGGATGTACGGGACGCTGAAGGTGCTCGCCGACGGTCGCTACCACCGGGTGGGCCAGCTGACGAACCAGGTCGATTACCTGGCGAAGAAGCACCGCTCGCTGAAGGGCGTCTTTGAGAAGAACGTCGTGGAGGTGCTGGCCGATCGGCGGGCAGCCGCCCTGCGCCGCCCCAAGACCGAGGAGGAGCTCATCAGGGAGAATGCGCTCTTCAAGTTTCTCCACGACTGCATTCAGTGGTGTCTGGAGAAGCGCGCCTACCTCGAGTCGCTCTCCCTCGGCGAGGACGTCCACTCGATCACCCGCCGGCTGGAGCAGTTTGTGGAGGAGCAGACGGCGATTGGGCAGTTTGAGAGCAAAGTGGAGCGCTGCCACGCCGCCAAGCGGGACATCAAGCCGGAGGAGATGCCCATCTACGCAAACATGCTCAGCCGCCTCAACGTCGCCTACGAGGAGGTGAAGGGCTTTGCCGGGAAACGGGTCGACCAGCTGAAGTCGCTGCTGGAGTTTGTCAAAGCAGCGGAGCGGGAGCTCGCCTGGATCGGCAGCAAGGAGGAGGTGGAGCTCGCCCGCGATTGGTCCCTGAAGAACCTCAACCTCGAGGAGCTGGCCAAGTACCACTACTCGCTGGTGCGGGACATGGAGGGCCGGGAGCGGGAGTTTAACGGAGTTCAAGCGAAGGGTGAGGCTCTGCTGCGTGATCGTCACCCGAGCACAAAGTACGTCGAGTCGCTGATGGCCCGGATGCAGGGCAGCTGGAGCTGGCTGCTCCAGTTGATCAACTGCCTTGAAGAGCACCTCCGCCACACCGGCGAGTACTACCACTTTATGGAGGAGGTGGCGGAGACGAAGAAGGCGATGAACTCCGTGGAGGACAAGCTGAACAACCAGTACAGTCGGCAGCACTTCCTGATTGAGGAGGGCGAGAAGATGCTGAAGGAGATGGGCGAGCTGAAGGAGGACATTGCCCGGATCGGAGATAAAGTGGTGGAACTGGATGGCCGAGCGGGCACTATCGTCAATATGAAGCAGCGAAAGACGCCCCTTCCGAGACCGATTAAAATTCGCTCTCTCTGCATGATCAACAACAAGGCCGAAAAAGGAGGTCAGGGTGTTACCATCAACAAGGGCGAGACGGTGACGCTGCTCGACAACTCGCAGCGGCTCAAGTGGAAGGTCCAAACTTCGAATGGAACTGAGCTGACCCTGCCCTCCGTTTGCTTCATCATCCCACCGCCCGATCCGGACGTCCTCGACGCCATGGCCGAGCTGAAGGCGAAGCAGGAGGCGCTGATTGCGCTGTGGGCGGCGAAGCACCGCGAACTCCGCCAAAATATGATCCTCCAGACGCTGAAGATTGTCAAGGACTGGGACTACCCGACCTACTGTGCAATGGACCCCAAGAAGAGGGACGGCATTATGCGCATGCTCGAGGAGGACATTGATAAGCTGGCGAGGGAGGGCCCGCCGGACGATCCGAAGATTCGCCGCCTGCAGGACGAGCTGGAGGCGATCAAGCGGAAGTTTGCCGACTTTGAGGCCCGTAAGCGGAAGGAGGAGGAGGACCGCCTCAATGCGGAGAAGGTGGCCCGCTTTATTGAGGCAGTGAATGACATTCTCGAGAAGCTGCAGGAGAAGGAGAGGATTTTGATGCAGCGAGCCTCCAATGCCATTCCCCGAGATCGCCCAACGCTTGAAAGTCTGATCCACGAGCACGCCGAGTTTGAGCACGACCTCGCCCGCTTCGAGTCGAAGATCAAGTCGCTGAAGGAGGAGTTCACCGCCTCCATCGCAAAGATCAAGTCCCACGCGGCGCAGTCGAAGTACGAGGCGACGATTGAGACCTGGGACCGGGTGACCACTCTCTCGAAGCACTACTCGGAGCGGCTGAAGGCCCTCGAGGTGGTCCTCGGCGACATTGAGGCCGCCACTGGAACGCTGCAGGCGCTCCAGTCGAAGCTGACCGCCGCCGAGGAGGTGCCCGCCGATGAGCTGGACCTGAAGCGGATGCTCGCCGAGCTGGTGGAGGCGAACTCCTCGATTTCCTCGAACAGCGCCGCCTTTGAGCAGCTGCTGAGTAATGTCACGAAGGTGCGGCGACTGGTGGAGCGAACGCGGCCGAAGCAGGCCACCCACAGCGACCTGAGTCGGCTGGAGGAGGACGTGAAGACGGTGTACAAGAAGTGGAAGGCCGCCTCGGTGCAGATTACGGAGCGGTGAGTGCTTTTTGTGGTGGGAGTTTTCGGAGTTTGGGAGTTTTAATTAATTTGTTCCATTTTTTAGCTTGAGCGGTCTGGAGCTGTGTCGCGACCTGCTGCGCAAGTACCGCTCGCTGATGGACAGCGAGAAGGGCTGGCTGTCGGCCACCGGGGCGAAGGTGAAGACGATGCTCAACCGGGCTGATTTGGAGAGTGTTACCGTAAGTGGCAGTGGTTTTTAGTGCTTTCAACTTTTTACCTCTTTTTCTTTCCTTTTTAGAAAATCTACGAAAGCATCGTCCAGCGCAAGCCCTCCATCGAGGACACCAACATCGCCGGCGGCCGCTTCATCAGCGAGGCCAAGTCCCTCAACGTGAAGATCAAGGCCTACCGGGAGAGTGTCGCCGAGGAAGGTGCCAGCGGGCGTGGTCATGAGCCGCTCAGCGCCAAACGGGCGCGCAAGTACACCGGCGTCGAGGCGGTGGAGCAGGAGTTGGAAGCGTTGAATCGAGAGTACAAGGCACTGCTCGATCAGGTCCTTTCCTACTTGAACCAACTTCAGGATGATGAGACGAGGATGCGGGAGTTTGTAAGTTCACAGACCTTTTCTTTTTTTATCAGCTTTTTATGTGCACTAACCGCGATTAACGCTTTTGCTGTTTGCTTTGCGCTACTAATCTTGACTAACTTTTTGCTCGATCGCGACCTTAGAAAGAAGCTTCTGCTTTGAAAAGAGAAGGAGGAGGAGGTAAAAGAGGTGATAGAAGTAGTACTGATGATGATAGTTCGACAGCAGCAGCACTTTCTACTCTAGCTACTCTTCAACTCAATGATCAACAAAAGGCCGTTCTGAAAAAGCTTGTAGGTCGCATCGCCGGTCGCNTTTGACTAACTATTTTTGCTCGCTCGCGACCTTAGAAAGAAGCTTCTGCTTTGAAAAGAGGAGGAGGAGGTAAAAGAGGTGATAGAAGTGGTAATGATGATAGTTCGACAGCAGCAGCAGCGGCAGCACTTTCTACTTTAGCTACTCTTCAACTCAATGATCAACAAAAGGCCGCTCTGAAAAAGCTTGTAGGTCGCATCGCCGGTCGTAGTGGACCGCTTCGCCTCTCTGAACGCGATCTCCAGTGCCTGCTGGGCCTGCTTGCCCAGGGTGAACTCCTCGATCCGGTGCTGTACGGCCAGCTGGTCGCCCTGCTGCTGCGCACCTTTAACCTCTGGCACATTGCGCTGAGGTATACGAGAGAGCAGTTTGAGGCGATGAAAAGAGAGCTCAGAAGACGAGAAAGGCTGAGGCAAAAGATGCTCCTTCTGCAGAGAAGAAGAAGAAGTGAAGGTTTTGCTGGTGATGAAGATGAAGAGGAGGAGGAAAGAAGAAGGCAAAGAAGTAGCAGTGGGCAACTGGTGCCGTACAGTGGAGGAGGTGATCTAGATGATGATCCGAACAATCTCTTTGGAGCTGGTGGCCGTGGTCGTCGCTCTGGACTGGACGGAGATAATGAGGATGAGGACATTGAGGAGGCCACTCCACTCGACCTTGCCGAAGCAGAGCGAAGAAGAAGAAGAAGAAGTTTGCTTTTAGGTGACCTTTCGCCTGAAGAGGCGGCGGCAGCTCTTCGACGCCTGCTTCGCCGCCGTCGCGCCCTCGCCCGCCGCCTTCTCCACCAGCTGATGGCCTTCTACGCCTGCCACGCCCCGTTGTACAGTCGCTTTTCGGTGATGCTGCTGGCCGCTACCCGGGCGGCCATCAGCCGAATGCTGCTCGCCGAGGCGGCCAACTCGGAGGAGGGGCGGCGCCGGGCGTTGGCCTACCTGGCCGCCCTGCAGGCGGCCGGCTCGGTGGGCGATGGGTCCAGCGGTAAAAGAGCAGAAGATGTGGCGCCGATTGGAGTTCTGCTGCAGCAGTTTAGCGGTGGGAAGGTGAGATGAGTGGTGGTGCCACTCGTGATGATGATGAACTCCCGACAACCAATTCCAAAACGTTCCAAAAAGTTCCAAAAAGTCCAAACACTCCAAATACCAAAACTGAATGACCCGAAAGTACCTGAATGTAAAGCCCGAACCAAAGTTCCACTGTTGAATTTCTCCACTTCCAATGTCTCACCTTGAATGCGCCCAAAACATTTCCAATTGCAATCCTTAGCTCTCTCACTTACCGCTCGCCTACTAACCCAAACTCACGCATGCTTGCCTTGATCTTCACTGCTTTTAGAACAAAAACTAACATTTTGTTTGGTTTTCCCCACTTTTTCCTTTCCCTAACTAGAACTCTATCGCCGACAAGCTGAAGGACTGGCTGGGGCAGAAGGAGAAGCTCATCTCGGTGCTGGGCCCCATTGCCAGCGAGCCGTACATTGTCAACACGCAGCTGAAGCAAATTAACGTGATGAAGGACGAGTTCAGCTCGCAGGAGGGCAACCTCGCAAAGATGGACAAGCTGGGCAATTCGATCCTAGAACGAGTAGATCGATCCAGCCCTGCCTTCAAGGGCGTCCAGCACAAGATGGCGGACATTCACAAGAGCTGGAAGGAGCTACTGGCCGTTCTTGATGAGCGCGAGAAGAACCTGCAGGCGGTGAGCGCCGCGGCGGCGGACTTTGCAGCCAAACTCGCCAAGCTCAACTCGAACCTCGAGACACTGTCGAACGAGTTTGAGCATATCACCAACAGCGGCCTCGATGCTGATGAGCAGCTGCTGAAGATCACCAACCTGGAGGAAAGCCTGGAGGGGCAGCGACCGTTGCTAGCGGAGTGCGGAAATGCAGCGAACTTCCTCTGCACACTACTGACCGATGCCGCCTCAAAGACGGAAATCAAGGAGAAGTTCAAGGCGGTGGAGGCCCGCTACAATGACCTCTGCCGACGGGTGGCCAACCGGAAGGGCGAGCTGCAGAGCTCGCTGAAGGAGGACCGGGAGTTCTTTATGAGCTGCGACGAGCTGCAGGAGTGGCTGCGAAATATGCTCAACCTCCTCTCAAAGGACATTCGAATTTCTGCCGTGCTGGAGATTGTGACCCGGCAGATCCACGACTTTGAGCCGATCTACCGGCAGGTGATGGACAAGGAGCACGAGGTGCATATGGTGCTCAACCGCGGGGCGAACATTCTCAACAAGGCCGGAAGTAGTCGGGGGGATGCGGCCAACTGGCGACACACACTGGACAATATCAAGCGACAGTGGGAGCTGGTGAAGAAGGAGGCGATTGAGAAGAACACGAAGCTGCACAAGTGCCTCGATGTCTGCCGGAAGTACAATGCCGCCCTCAATGAGCTGGTGCCGCTGCTGAAGGGCTACGAGGCGAAGCTGGCCGCCAGCCGGGACATTTCCCTGCACCGAGCTGACCTGGAGCGGCAGTTTAGAGATATTCAGGTATTTTTGAGTTTTGTAGTTTTTTTTTGTAAAAATCTAATTTTTGCCCTCTTTTCCCATCAGTTCCTGAAGAACGACATCTCCAAGCACCAGCAGGACTTTGACG